AACTTCAAATTTTAAGAAAAAACATACTAATTCTTTAATTTTACGGAGAAGTATGGATTTGCCCAATGCAGATTTTTGATTTACACTGCAGAGCTATAAACATTCAAAAGGACCACAATCCACACTCTATGCACCAAAGCCCGCCCGTGAATTGGCATCAATTCTGAGCTGGTACCTACCCAACAGTACTTTGAGCCTACAAATTCTGACCCCGGGCTGATCGGTCATTCTCCCTTAATTTTATTATTGTATCTCATGGATTGGCTAGCTCAGTTAAATGTCTTTGGATTAAAGTGCTGGACCAAAACCGTAGGTTCATTTGCCCGTATATATATATATATATATATATATATAAATGTTCCAGATGCACCTTATACGTGCTGTGAGGTCGGTGTGAGGCGTGCCTTGTGAGGAGAAGATTCGAATTCGTATGTTCCATTACAAGATTTCTTCAACAATCTACAATACTACAGTGTTTTCAAACCCGTGGTTAATTTGGACAGTTAAACCATTCAAACCGTCACATTGTCACAATTTTAAGTCAGATTTTCTAAAAACTTGGGATTTGACATTAAAACAATTGACTTGGTCAAAACCCATTCAACCTTGGTGGTTGAGTTGTTGGTCCAATTGACCCAGTCACTGGGTCATGGGTTACACTAGAATATGTCTAAACTTTTGGAGGCCATAATTTTGTATTTGGTTGTTCAATAATTGGGATGATCTTTACATCGATTTTGGGTAACTTTCCAATCCCACTATTTCTGCCTAGAGAAAAACATTTTTTGGCCTCAAGTGTTAATTTTATCATTTTTATAAATAAAAACAAAAAAAATGAAATAAAAAATATAAATTAATCATAAAATAATATATAATTATAATTGTACATTATTTAAATGATACAATATATATTCATGCATACATACATATATGTATACTAGTAATTAAGCACATGGTGTTGCACGTGAGAAATTTTTCATATTAATTATTTGAAATTTAGATATATCATAGTTGACTCCGGAACCTTGCCCACATCTACCCACAACACACTACCCCTGTGCATTAGGAACATCTACTCGTGCATGATACATGTAGGAGTATGAGGTGTTCTCCATGTGTGGCTGCAATGTTATGTGTGTAGACATGGGTAGAGTTTTTGTAGAGGGGAGATCTTAACTCATCATAGCTAATATAGAAAACGAATATTAACAAAAGTAACGATATGATTAAAAATAAACTTAAATGCTTGTAGTAAATGTGCATGTGCATTGCATGTGGAAATTTTAAATTATGATAACAATTATTGTTATTATTATTATATTTTTTATTCCATTTCTGTAATAAATAAAAATAATTTTTATTTTAATAGTTATTTTTATTTAATATGATGAGTATATAACATTAGAAATGTTCCCAAGTGTTTTCGGCACAATTCTCTACTTTATCATTTTGTGTTCAGTTTTTTTAAATATTTATTATTCAATTATGGCATCATGAGTTTCTTTGAAAAGTTGAATCATTTACCCACCATCTAGATAAGAAAAAGTTTTGCTTTCAGATCAGTTTTAGATATATATTTAGATATATATATATATATATATATATATATATATATATGATTACTTGTATGTTTTAATACATTTTAAAGATTTATTATTTAAATATTATATCATTGATTATTCCATTTGACTCAAACCATTAACCCACCACCCAAAACGAAAAATAGTTTGATTTGTAGGGTGACATTAAATTTTGTATTACATTTTCATCAATGATAAAATTATTTCTTATGTATAATACTTATTTTTGTTCAATAAAATGAATGAATAATATTAGAGATGTACCCAATATTTTATTTTTTATAAATATATAATAGTAGATATATGTGCTCGAAATTTTCTCTATTTTTTTACTTTTTTGTGGTTCTTTGTATTTTCTATTTTTACAAATTTTATTGTTTGACAATGACATTGTTTCATTTCTACGTTGATTTTAAATTTAGCATTCCATTTTCATCATTAATAAAAATACTTCTTACATTCCATATTTAATTTTGTTTTATATAATGAATATACAATATTAGAGATATGCCCAATTCTTTTTTTTTGTATTATTTATTTTATTTATTTTAATTTTTATTATTTAATTATGGAATTTTTCATTAAACCATTTGACCCCAAATGGTTGAATTATTTACCCATCACCGAAAGGGAATAAAATGGTTTTGTTTTCAAATTATTTTTCAAGATGTTAATTTTTATACTATAAAAATTAATGTTGTGATTTAATTAATAGAATTTACTGATGAGATAAATATATCTTAAAAATAATATTTAATAAGAGAATATACCTTAGATATGAGACTCAATGAGAGAGAATAGGAAAATAATTTTATTTCCAATTGGTTTTAAATTTTACGTTCCATTTCCATTATTAATAAAAAATATTTCTTATTTATCATACTTATTATTGTTTAATATGTCAAATATATGATGTTAAAAATGCTCCATTTTTTTTAATTTTTATATTTTTTTACATTTCATCTATTTCTGAGTTTTATTATTTAATTGTAGTAGCATGGATTGACCCATTTGACCCAAAATGGTTTAATTTCTTACCTCCACCTAGATGATGCAATTTTTTTTATTACTATATTTTTTTACATTTTATCTATTTTTGAATTTTATTATTTAATTGTGGCAACATGGATTGACCCATTTGACCCAACATGGTTTAATTTCTTACCTCCACCTAGATGAAAATACTATTTTTAGGTATATTTTAAAAGTATAGTTTTCTATGTTATTAGAATTATTAATTTATAATGTATAGATTTAATTAATAGAATTTAATAATGAGAAAAAATGCCTTAAATATATGATTGAATGAAGGTGAATGCAAATTAATATCTTAAATATTGGATTTAATGAGAGGTAATTGAATGTATTGAATATAAAATGACATCTTTTCAACTCATTTAATGTCAATAACCAATTACCCTATTTTCCCTCATTTTTATTAATAAATTTAAATATAGAGAGGCAAATTTTATCCTCAGAAAATTTCAGAAATATTTTTGAGGCTACTAATGCTTTTTAAAAATAGTATAGATATGTGTGTGTGTGTATTATATGCTGATATGGCATGGTTGAACTAATGACTTGCAACTTGGAGGCAAATTAGATGACACTTAGATACCTACAAAGGTAACGATTGTAACGATTGTGTTGGATGCTTTGAAATTTTGATACTGTATCAATTATCAAACAATGCCATTATTGTACTTGGGCAAGATTAAGGCTATAAGTTAGTTGCTTGATTTGAGGAATTTCAAGTCAGTTAGGGTTTGGGTCCATTGAAAATTTAATAACTTCTCAACCTGGCCCAATCCAAAGCTAGATAAGTTTATTGTTATTTCTTTTTTAGCTTCATGTGGCTACAACTCGCCAAAAGACCTTACCAATTGGTCTAATTAGTACTGTCATATGGTGCACAAGTTACCTCCACATGTTTGGTTAGTTACCAATGAGATCAATGTTTTGAATAGATGTACTTAGTTTGACTTAATGACATGTTCATTTTTTTTGGGGATTTTGAGAGGAGGGAAAATTAGTCAATGGAATTTTGGTTCTTATTGGTTAAGATCCAAGATACCCATGTTTTCTTTTTAATTTATGTGGGGTCCATGAAAATTTTATTTTCCTTTGATATCATTTACCCCATGGATAAATAACTTTCCCACATAGGGAAAAATTGTCAACACTTTTGATGAGACAAACCTGCCCCTTTTAATAATGAATCTTTATAACTAAAATGGTTAGTCTTATTTACTTGGGAAATACAAAAACATGAAAATACCTAACCAGATAAGCAACTTCCTGAAAAGTGAATGAGACATTCGAAAATTACTATGAAGCGCACAAAATGGATTAGTAAGTAGGGGTGTAAACGGGTCGAATTCGAATCGGATCAGGCAATATCCGAATTCGAATCCAATTAGAAAATCCGATATCCAAATTCGATTAGATATCCAACAGATATTGAAAATTAATATCCAAATTCGAATCCAATTAAATATTTGAATATTTGATTCAATTCGAATTTGATTAATTATTTATTTTAGATAATTAATAAATATTTTATTGATATAAAGTATATAAATATATAAATTATTTTTATAACTTAATTATTATATATAAATTATGTAAAATATTTTATATATTATACATAAGAATTAAATAATCGATCTAATTCGGATATTTATTGAATCGAATCAGATCATCCAAATTCGACCGATTAAATATTCGAATTATTCGAATTCAATTCAATTATATCAAATACCAAATTCGAAATCAGATTTTGGAACACCGTTTACACCCCTATTAATAATCACCACACACCTGGTTTAGCCCATCTTTGACGGAAACCGTACTGAGTCAACCTATCAACCGAAACTATCAATTATCAAGCAGTAGTAGCCGACGACTGGCCGCCCCAGTTACAAAAGATTCCTAAAAACTCCACATATAAATTTGTTCTTTGACTTCTTTCCCACGAATATCTCCCTCTAAATTTCTCTCTCCGATCACAGAAAAAGCCGCAACGATTTCTGCGGTTCAGAAAGCCAGAGAGTGGGGGTTTCTGTGGGATCGGATCTAATAAGTTCGTTCAATGAACAATTGTTAAAAAGTGGTTTTTAATTTTTTCGGGTAGGCTTCAAGGGATAGGTGTAAGAAAAAATATTCTAATGGGCAGGAGATCCGGCCCATCTCAATTGTAGATAGATGGACCCACTTTTATAAATGAGATCCATCACCGGGGACCATAATAAAGTAATAAAATTATACTGTAATAGGATAATAAATAAAATCATATATTTGGTACTGAAAATTAATGTAAAATCAGAAGAAAAGAAGAGTAAGCTTGAAAACAAGCTCTTTGTCTTCACCACCCAATCCAAATAACGAAGCACCCAAATAACGAAACACTCAAGACCAAGATGAAAAGCTGCTTTGCATTTTCAAGCTAGCTAATACCAGTTAATGGAAGATAAGATCTGAGTATGCTCCTATGGTTAACAATTTCCAACCAAAAAAATACAGTAAGAAAAAGAAAGAAAAAAGAGGCCTTTCCCCGGAAAAAGGATCGTCCCCCACCGCCGGCGATGATGTTGGTTACAGCAGTCATGGTACCGGCCTTGTCATCCTCGGCAAGATATGAACAGCAACAGCTTGCAATGCCGGTGGTGGATCCACAACCCACAATTGCGGTGGTCTGGCGACGACATCCACCACTGCAATTCCGTCACCATGTGAACGAATAGCACAAACCTTACCCCCGCCGGCTGCAATTTGCACTACTCCTTTGAGATGGGCTGACTGAAAGAGCTCCTCCCAGCAATCCCCATAAGAATTGTATCTCCTGAGCATTCCTTTGGTCTCATCAACCACGTATAGCACATCCTCGTCCATCGACGCGGCCGGCCCATTCCAACCCACCAGCATCCCCTCCGGCATCTCCTCCCACCGGTCCTTCTCCACGTTGTAAACTGTTCCTTCCTTGGGTGCATCCCCGTGCACGTTAACCATACAAAGCTTCCCTCTCCAACCGACGGCCCTCACGGCCTCCCGGCTAAACCTCCCATGCTTGAGTGCAGAAACCTTCTCCCACTCCCAACCCGAACAGTTGGTGTTCTTGTTTTCCAAGTCCCAGCGCTCTGCAGACCGGGCTACTTCTCGGTTGTAATGCGACCCTAAGCCGCTCACAATATACACTGCTCCCTCGGCGGAGCCCGTGGCGCACCAGCGGCGTGGGGCGGAGATCGTGGGGCCGAGTAGCCATTGCTTGGAAACTGGGTGGAAGACCAGAGGGCTGGAAAGGGCGGGCTGGAGGTGGTGCGTCGTAGCCGCAAGAAGAACGAGGTACCCCGAGACTGCAACCGATTGAATGGGAAGGTTTCGTGCTATGAAGGATGGGTGTCGGAGGAGAACCGGCTGGAGGAGGTGATCTGGCGGGGGCGGTGGAAACTTATGCCATGATGATGAGATGGGATCAAACGAGAAGAACTCTATTGAATTAGAATGGTTTTGATTAACACGAGAGGTGGTGGAGGTGGCTGGGTCGAGGTTGGAGAGGAGAGCATAAAGAGAAAGAAATGGAGGGAAGGAAGGGGAGTAGATGAGACGTCGCCATGAGCGGCAGACGGAGTAGAGGAACATGGGAGGGACAAGTGAAAGGCAGAGCTGTGAGAGATGGTCGGGAAGTCCTGGTAGCAGAGGCTGGTGGTTGTGCTGCCCGCCCTGATCGTCTATTTTTCGGCGTTTTCCGCCGACCATAGTTGTGGCGTTAGCCATGGTTAGTTGGACCGTGCTACGCTGTGAATTGGGACGAAACCGACGAAGGTTTGTTTCTACGGGTCCAGCCCCAATTTTGGCCAGGTTCTAAACTTCTATAGGTGGATTGGAAACCGGTTAGAGAAGGGAAATAACCCCTGCCTTGGGATTGAATTTACTGAACTGCCAAACACCATTTTACCCTGGGATTTTTAATCTTGAATTTTCTACCAACTTTATAGACCTTGAAGCTTCAACCGTTGGATTGAGATTTGGAAGTGCCCTTGAGGATTTATTTAATTAATTAATGGGGTGGACCCTTGTATGAAATTTGGATGGTTAGAATAGAATGGAATTCCTTCAAAGTTATATGGGTCATCATAAGTTATTTATTAGCCGATCAACTGTCAAAGGAACGAGTTGCTTTTGTTGGATTCAATGCTACAAAAGCTGTAGAGCTTTAAAATTCTGAGGTGGTAAAGCTCCCCACTTGGATTGAAGGAGGAATAAGAAAAAACTTGATCAGTAGAGTGAAATTTAAGTTTGAATGGGGAATAAGAAATCCTTGATAAAATTTGTGGGTGAGGAGTGAGAAAACAAGAAAAGGAACCTCACAGTTTTGTGTCATTTGTCCTCCACACATGAGTCAAATTTGTAATCCAAAAGGCAATGGATCACATTATTTCTAAAAGCTTGTAATTTAGCTATCAAGGAAGTGACTTTTTTTTTTCGTATTGCATTTTTAGCATAAAAAGTAGAAATAAAGGAATCGTTTGTTTTCATTGTTCTTGTTTGGTAAAGGCAGGAAGTGCTTTTGTTTTGTTTGATAAATTTAATGAGATCTTTTCTAGTAATGTTAGTAGTGGGCCGCCTAATCTTAAATTTGAATAGGACAAAAGGCATCATAAGATAAGGAAAAAAAATATGACCAAACAGACTTGATCAGAGTTATTTTGTTGTTTTATCAAAATACTGTCATATCTAGCCAATATTTAAGAATAATCCACTTCGATATACTAATTGCAAAAAAAAAAACATTTTAATATGACAGTAAATTATCATTGAATTAGCTATTTTTTATAGTATTTAAACTAGCATATTAGACCGGATAGTGGACCAGCAAACCAATTAGCCTTCCGGATTTATCTCATCAGGATCGACCAAAATTGTTTAAAATTACAAAATGGTAGGGTGCAACTTGGGCAGGCTTGGGTTTGACTAGGGGTGCTCACGGTTTAGGAAATCGAACCGTGGGTCTTTTTTTGAATCAAACCAGTATTACCGGTTTTTGGAAAATTGGTAATTCGAACCGAACCAAAACCAGTCAGTTAACTGTCGGTTTGGTTCACTGGTTTTCGGTTTTTTAGTTTTTATAATATACTATAAAATATATAATAAAAAATTATAAATATATAAAATATTATATTTTAAATAATATATAATATATTATAATATATATTACATATTTATTAATTTATAATATACATAAATATATAAAAAAATATATAGAAAAACATGTATATCGGCCGGTTCGATTAACCGCCGGTTTTTTATATTGGTTAACCGAAACCGAATCGATACCTTTGGTTTTTTAAAAACACCAAACCGATCGATTCAGATAACCGATTTTTTGGTTTGATTTCAATCGATTTTTCAGTTATTTTTGCTCACTCCTAGGTTTGACTTTTGTCAAAATTTAAATAGGCCCGACCTGAAGTAGTGTAAAATACTAATTTGGACCAACCCGAATTTCATCCCTACAAATGGACATCTTTAGTTCTACGTTTCTTTTCAAAATTAGATTATATAATGCTAATTTATATATTTATTTTTTATTAGTGCATGCATAAACAGCTAGCCATCAGCGGCGGGGGTATATACAAGAAAAGGGAATTAGGGCATTATTGTCATTAGAGTAAAACTTTAATGGCCAGTTGTGACCATACACGTACTATTTAAAGCCTCAAGTTCTAAAAGGCAAATCCAGTGTACGTGTCATACCTAGTGTCACATACATTAGTCCCCAAACTTTAAAATGTCACAATTTAATACCCAAACTTTTAGAGTATGATAATGTAGTACCTGTCGCTAATAGTATTTGAAAAAGATATAAATGTCCTTCAAGTGTTATTTAATTTTTTTTATCAACCATCTAAACGTTGACAAAAAATTAATAGTCCCAAATATTTGTCTTTACCATTCAAGAAAGTTGGGGTCACGTTTGAGTAGACATTCTAGTGACCCCAACTTTCTTGAATTAAAGAGGTAAGAATTTGAGACTATTAAGTTTCTGTCAATGTTTGGATGGTTGATAAAGAAAATTAGATGACACTCGAAGGGCATTTATGTCTTTTTCAAATACCACTTAACGGCTGGTTAACAGATAGTTAACAGTAGGTACTAGATTGTCATGTTTTGAAAGTTTAGGTACTGAAATGTCGCATTTTAAAGTTTGGAGACCCAAGTGGCACTAAGCCCAAAATACAGGGTACTAATCGGGAATTTTCCCAATTTGAAACAAAAACTTGTTTTGATGCTTAGAGCCCAAAAAGGCCAAAATGTGTGTTGTGTGTAGAGAGAGAGAGAAATGTAAAAATTCTTTAAATGAGGAAAAGAAGGAGATGTTGAGTGCTTCAAGAAAGGAGCCTTTACCAGTCCGCATGCATCCTTTTCAATAGAAATCAAGGATATCCTCTAATTGTCTCTATGGTTATCTCTTGACTTTTTTATTTCATCTCCCACTTTTTGGATGTATTCTCTACTAAATTGACTACACCTGGCAAGCAAGTCTTGTTAAATATATCCTTCAAAAAGCTCAACAGATTTTGAGAGCTTGAAGAACATTTGATGATGCATAGATCTTCCATATACACTAGCTTTCTATTTTCAGTCAAAGTTTCATTTGAAGCTTCCTATTTTTGGGTCACTACAGTTTTTTCGATTTCTTAGCTCTTTGTTATCAAAAGAAAAAAAAGACTAAGGCTCCGTTTGATTTGTGGAAAGATTTGGGTGGGATGGGAAAAGATAGGATGGGATGGGATGGGAAAGTGTAAAAGGGGACCGAAATGGCACTATTCACCTTCCTCCTTCATTCGAGACGAACAAAGGCAAGTCAAGCAACGACTACTCTCTTCATCTCCCACCTCTAAAATGGCATTGTTCACCTTCCTCCTTCGTTCGAGACGAACAGAGGCAAGTCAGGCGACGTCTACCCCTTCTTCTTCTTCTTCTTCTCGTTTCAACCTCTCTGTTTATTCCCAATTGCCACTGTAACTTGTATGACCTCGAGGTGACATTGACGTCGACGTCGAATGGTCGCGATCGACGACGTTATTACCTGAACTTTCAAATGGTTGCGATCGATGACATTGATTGCCATTGTAACTTCTTCTTCGTCTCGAATGATCTTCCCGAAAGTTATTTCTTGAATTTTCGAATGGTTGCGATTGGTGACGTTGACACCGTCGTCGCTACCACCTTCAGCAGGGTTGTGCTCTTCTAACTCTAACAATGATGATCCCACTGGCATGGTTGTGCTCTGACGTCACTGCCACCTTACGGGAGGAGGGAGGGAGGAAGGAGATCGTAACTCGAGTTTTCCCACTGGGGTCACACTATTTTGGTGTGACCTCGAATCCACGATTTTGGGATCTCGCATCCCACCTTTTTTTCATTTCATCCCCCTCTTTCCCTCAAAACAAATATGAGAAAAGGGAATATTCCCTTTTTCTCATCCCATCCACGATTTTGGAATATTCCCTTTTTCTCATCCCCATCCCACAAACCAAATGAAGCCTAAGGATCTGTTTGGTTTGTAGATAGAATTTGGATCGGAATCCCCAGGAATTGGAATTAGAATCACCTATTCTTGATACTTGTTTGGTTTAGTCGAGAATTAGAATCAGATTCTGATTGTTGTTGTTTGGTTCATTTAGATTTGGAATTGTAATCAATTGAAAATTTTCAATTTTGTATTAAATTATTTATTATTTTATTATTACTTTATTGTTATTTTATGAATATATAATGATATTATTATTTAATAAATAATAATTTTGCTTTTTATTATTACTTTATTATTATTATATTTAATAATTAATATATTTATTTTTCTTGTTATTTTTTTAATATTTTATTATTAATATACTATTTATTATTATTATTATTATTATTATTATTATTATTATTATTATTATTATTATTATTATTATCTAATTATTAATTTAGTAATGTTTTATCAATTTACTAATATTTGGGTTTGGGGGTTTTTGTCCTAGATTCTTTACTTCTTGACAAACTCTAGAATGGGATCCCATTCCCTAGGGGGGCCTAAAATGGTTATTCCCCCATGGGGGAATACTATTCCACCAAGATTGGGAATCGAAATCCTATTCCTGTCAAAGAAACCATGGTTTTCAAAACCAGACTGGATTTTCCATAAAAACCATTGATTTTGGTCAGTAAACCGCTGACCTGGGCGGTTAACAATTCAAATCGTTTGAGTGGTTTTCAATTTTTTTATTTTATTTTTGTCAAAACGGGCTGGCCGTTCAACTTGGTAACCGAACCCCTGACCAATTCAGTCTCCGGCTCGATTTCAAAAACCATAAAAGAAACAATAGGATTCAGACCATTTCAATTTCAATTCTAGGCACTTATTATAGTAAACCAAACAAACTCTAAAATTTGGTCTTTAATCTTTTAAAAGCCCAAAAAATGCCCGTGGAAGATTTACTAAACACAGCCTAAGATTGGATGGTAGAATGATACTCAGAAAAAGTTTGGTTGCAAAATTAGTTCATTTTAAATGCAATTATTTTGATGGATTATGGATTTCTGACTTATAACTTTCCCATTCCTGGAAAAAATTAATAGGTCTATTTATGTAAAATGGGTTGTGCCCAAATCAATATATCTTCTAATGGGAAACTTTTATAGAGGTATTGTTCTGCCCCTCAATTGAAATCAATGTACGTATGAGCTCAACACTTCATTCCAGTCCTAAAAAAGGGTTAGATATTATCATATTAATTTCTTATAACAGTTAAAAAAAAGAAAAGAAAAGAAAGAGAAGAAAGCTTCTATGCATTAATGTGCAGTTGTTTTAGAGTGAATTCATGCATGTCATCAATATATAGAAAAATAAAAAATGTGAATAATCAAGTGGATTGTAATTAAGATGTCGAAAAGCGACCATTCATTGTGTCATATCCTTATCCTACAGCTTGATGGTATTCATGAGCAAGGCAACGCTATAAGATAAACCAACCAAAGGTTGATGGAACCCAACTTCATTGATTTCATGAAACAACAAAACAATTTTAAGCAGTTCAATCTTCAATGTAAGAATGACAAAGGGATGAGATACAATCTCGAGTGAGATCAAATTGATGCTGACTTTTGCTTGATCCTAACTCAATCCTTCCTGAGAAAGGAGGTGCATGTGGGACATGCAATAATATGTTTTGAGGGAACAATAGTTTCTTCACTCAAAAAAAGGCAGAAAGGAATATAAAATTTTGTATTTTCATGTAATACAAGATAATATGCATGACTATATTATTATATATAAAATGGCTACTTGTGTAAGTATATTGTTAATTTATATATTTATCTTTATTTGTATATTTGCACAATAAGGCCCTCACACTAAGGATACTGAGTGATGATCCATATAAGGAAGATGGTCAAATCCATGTCCAACTGAAATGATAGACAAGCCCAAAAAGCAATTCGTGGAATTGCTTTTTATTTTATTATTGAATTCCATGTACCAACCTCGAGTTTGGTAGTCCCATGTCCAAATAATAAGGATAGAATGAGTTAGGAGTGGTTTAGGGTCCTGGTCCCCCCACTCCCAAGGAGAGAGAGAGAGAGAGAGTGAAAAGGGGAAATGATGAAAGTTGGTTCCATTTACTACTTAGCCATCAACTAGACAACTACGGCTTCCTGGAAATTGTGAGGTAATGGTTGAATGTTGACAGGTCTTTGAAGTTGGAAGTGTTCTCTGTAAAACATATATATTGTCCATGGATCACCCATCAAGCAGTTCTTTTGGTATTAAATCAAACATCAATTGTACAACCTAAAGCAAGTAACTAGCAAATACAGATACTTCGGAGAAAAGAAAAAGTAAAAAACAACCTTGCTAAAGTACTAAATCGAATAGAGATTATATCTCTTAATTAGGTTCCCGTTTGCATGGGAGGGCTTTAAGCATTGCAAGGGGAGAGGCGGAGAGCTGTCCTAAAGTTATTTTTGGAAGAAACCCAGAAGACGCTTACATTAAGCTGAAAAATCAACCTTCCGGTGAAACTGGTTTTGGTAATTTCTCTCAGTCAACGCCACTCGATCAAATGATGAAGCTCTCCCAAATGGGTCCTAAATAAGCTTGCTTTTAAAGCAGTATTAGAGTTGTTATAAACACAACTGAGTTTCTCAAGTGGAGAGAGTAAGGAGGTGTTTGGTATAATAACATTGCATTGTTATGGTATTTTGAGTTGATTAGTACAAATTTGTAATAAAATTTTTTTATTTCCATCTAAAACATCAAATTTGATTTTTCGTAGAAATGACATTTGTTCATATTCGATGTAGCAACACATTTCTCACAAATTTGTATTGATCGATCCAAAACACAAAACAACGCAACCCCATTACACCAAATACCCCTAAACGTTTTGAGAGGTTTTCTTTATAAATAATTAAATTTAATGCATAAATCTCATAAGAACTCCAAGGTCATGACCTAATGGGAAAGTCCTCCTATTGAATCCCAAATTTTTAAGTAAATGATTTGAGGGTTTGAGAGAAGAAAGAAGAAAGAAGGCTCATGGTTCTATGTCATAAGAGAGAATGAAAATCCATAAACAAGGAGAAGAAGGAGAGACAGAGTGTGGCAGATCGACTTTTAAAGCTGAAACACAACTGACTAGGACTCTAACTTCGGGGGTTGGTTGGAAGTTGCTCAGCCATTAAAACTTAAAGACATGCAGCTGCATTGGTCGTCAAACAAGGCAAAGAGCATCAAAACAAATTAAGTATCATGTGGATTGCAGCTATTCAACCATTCACACCCTCACATGCCGTCCATGACGCGCTTCCACCCATGTTAATTGATACCGCCGGTGTTGGTCTTGTTCCATTCATTCCTGCCTCCCAACTTGTTCACATCAGTGCACCATTCTTCCTTTTGCATCCTCCAAACGAGTTCACATTGGCGGTCCACAGGTGTTTTACATGCACATCTCGGCATGCATTGGTAATATCTTATTCCTGCGTGTATTATAAACATCTCTCGATGATGATATCATCTATTTTAGTATATCATCTAGAAATGTTTCTAATACATGACAAAGATATGATGTGGGATATTGTAAGGCCCCATCTCAGATCTGTACTCATATCTTATTGGGAGATATTAATAATAGACGGTTAGAACCCCAAACTATCCTCCCAATACAACCCAATAAAGAGAAGAGAGTTTTATTTTTTCAATTTTTTGTCCATTAAATCAACACAAAAGGAAAAAGTAAAAAATAAGGGAAAATGATCACCAAACAACTAATGGAAATTTACGATCCCAAGTTGTTATTTTCCAAGCAAACATGCATAAAGTAGGGGTCCATCCCTTTTTCTCTCCTTCCAAGAAAAGAAAGAAGTGGAATAGGATCTGCCCATCCATCTCTATCAGCAAATTTCCGCCACATTGTTATTCTAACCAAATTAGTTGTAGTTAGCAAAGTGTGGATCTTATACAGTCAACAACCCCTCTCTCTCTTTCTCTCTCACACACACACACTGACAAGGTTTTCACTTTTCACGATGCCCTTCACTGTATTTAATCCTTTTAGACTAGCGTCCATATTAATGATCCAAAAATCAACTCCATCCGGATCTCCTGTCCAAAATAACTCTACCTACAAACCACGTCGTGTATCAAGAACATCTCTCATGAATAATAACATAAAATATGATGTTACCGATGCGTAGCTGCGATGTCATGTGGGTGTGGCAGAGTTCTTGTGGGTAGAGAATGCAAGCTGCCACAAAATCATCATCTCTGAAAAACCTCCAGGGTTCCATTGGCCGGGTAGCCCAGAAGGCTTGGCCATCAACTTGGGCTCAAGCATAAATTTGAGGCCCGTAGGCTCAGACTTTTGTAATTAATAATTAATATACTAAAATATATATTAGCATTTACTAATATATAATAATAATAATAAGTTTTGTTTGGGTCTTAAATTTACTTTTACTTCCTTTTTAGATCAGGCTTTGGGTTTTGTATAAGAATCAGTTTTGGGCTTATCAATAGGCCCAGTTATCCAGTTAGGATTAGACTCGGAACTAGATATTTTTTATTGATAAGTAGTAAAGCCCAACCCACCCCAACCTATGAACTTTGAACTAAGGCTGCATTTGTTTTCGGTGTAAATGTACATTTACACAGATGGAATCGAGACACGATGGTTCAGTGAGAGTGTAAAATATAGACCAACCATTGTGTCCATTTACACTCGTCCTATTTGG